ATATAATAAATTAATATATATTATAATATATATATATATATATATATATATATATATATATATATATATATATATATATATATATATATATATATATATATATATATATATATATATATATATACATACATACACACACACACACACACACACACACACACACACACACACACATATATATATATATATATATATATATATATATATATATATATATATATATATATATATATATATGTATGTATGTATGTGTGTGTGTGTGTGTATGATTGTAGCTCTCTCTTTCGCTCTATAGATAATTAGAGACATATATGCATACATACATACATACATGCATGCACACAAAACACACATACATACACGCACGCACACACACACACACACACACACACACACACACACACATATATATATATATATATATATATATATATATATATACATATATATATATAATATATATATATATATATATATATATATATATATATATATATATTTATATATGTACACACACACACACACACACACACAACACACACACACACACACACACACACACACAACACACACACACACACATATATATATGTATATATATATGTATATCTATATTTGTATATGTATATATATAAATGCATACCTTCCACCATGTTCATTTTTTCATGCAGTTACAGCATAACAGCAGCATTACTCATTAGTCATGAGCAAATTTATCTCAAAATGAAACTGATCGCCCAAAGCGCCAGACACTAAACCATATCAACAAAGAGAATGTTTCAATGTTGTTTTCTTCCCACTCAACAAAACCATCTTTTCGGCAGAACTTCCCGTCGTCCCAAGATGAGGCCGAAGTCGTGGTGGTGGCTGTGGGCGGCGGCTGTGGTGAGCGTGTGTGGCGTAGGAAGCCCAGGTCAGGCGTTCACACTCGAGGGCTACTTCAAGGTGAGTTACTGGGACACGTTTGCCACTTGACCTGCGATATACTCGTGACCTGGTCTCTACGTTCTCTGTCTGCCCGCACCCCCTGCTCTCAGCCCTCTTTCTCTATTCTTCTCTCGTGTTTGTCTCACTTACCTTCTCTCTCTCTCTGTCTCTGTCTCTCTCTGTCTGTCTCTGTCTCTGTCTCTCTGTCTATCTCTGTCTCTCTCTGTCTCTTTGTCTGTCTCTGTCTCTGTATGCACACACACGTACACATGTATATATATGTCTTTCTCTATCTCTCCTCCCTCACTCCCTCTCTCTCTCTGTCTGTCTGTCAGCCTCAGGAACTTTTCGAAATACTTTTTTTCTGTCTGTGTTTTTACAAATGTTCCAAAAATGTGATTTGTGTATCTTCTTGAGTATCTGCCCATTTCTCCTTTTTTCGGTTGACCCCCAATTGACTATGCCAGTCTTTGTTACGTCTATTTTTGAATGTATATCTTTTGGTGACCTTGATCAATCTGGAGTCTGATGCTTTTAATTCTAATTTCATCCCCAAGATATGGCACTTAATTTGACAGATGGTAAACGTAGTTGGTTTTTAACACCCAAGTACATATTCAGGTGCATCTCCGCCTCTCGGTTACGTCATTACTAAGTCGTTTCCTTTTCCAGGTACTTGCTCTGGCTGCCAAGAAGAGGGACGTCTGGAGGAAAATATTCTTAGGGAAGGACCTGGGTAAGTTAGCAGTAACTGTGATTAGTCATATCGAAACGAATGATATATGATATACGTGTTGGAAATGGACCAATTCACTGTTAGTAATAGGGAACGTTATCCAATGCACATCTTTCAACAGATTATCATGTAAGACGGGTGTTGATAAAGATATCAATATTAATAATAATGCAGAAAATGAAATTAGGTTTAAAGGTTGACCCGAAAAATGATAAATGGAATTTTAACATCATTAACTCGCGAGATCAGGTTCTGACAGTGCAACATCGACGGTGTGAACCTGGATCCCAAATAATCCGTGCCTCTCCCGCAGGCTTCGACGTCTCGCCTTGGCTCTTCAAGGACCGAGTGAGGCCGCCCTACGTGCCTGTGCTCACCAGCTTCCCTCGGTCGCCCTTCTTCGGGCACTACACCAGTGAGAGGAATCCCGCCCCCTCCTCCCCCGCCAGCTCTTCCTACACCTTCTACGACGGGCAGGTGTCGATGCCGAATGCCAGGAGGCACTATACGTATCCTGAAGCGAGAAGAGGCTGGGGAGCCGGAGGAGGAGGTGGTGGTGGTTGGCTGAAGGGCATGGCGGCGTTCCAAGGTCTCCAGAGGAACGGCGTCGTTGGCCAAAACTACTTCGGAGGGTCGGCAGAAGGAAGTCCAATGCACATCCGGCACCGCAGGGACACCACGGCCGCGCTGGAGGGGGAGGAGGGCCGCCGGCGCAGAAGGGCGGCTTCTCGAGGGGGCGCGAGGGAGGCTCCACAGGCGCGCAGCCGATTTCAGGTTTTCACGTATCTCGGCTACGAAGGCCTCCCCGAGAGATAACCCGACGCGCAGGGGGATCTTTCAGAGACATTTATATATATATAAGTAGATGAATAAATAAATATTATATATATATATATATATATATATATATATATATATATATATATATATATATATATATATATATATATTATATATATATATATATATATATATATATATATATATATATATATATATATATATATATATATATTACATATATATATATATATATATATATATATATATATATAATATATATATATATATATATATATATATATATATTATAATATTATATATATATATATATATATATATATATATATATATATATTATATATATATATATATATATATATATATATATATATATATATATATATATATATATATATATATATATATAATATATATATATATATATATATATATATATATATATATATATATATATATATATATATATATATATATGTATATATATATTATATATATATATATATATATATATATATATATATATATATATATATATATATATATATATATATATATATATATATATATATATATATATAATATATATATATATATATATATATATATATATATATATATATATATATATATATGGTAACAATACAGGCATTTCTATATTGTAATATACATATTTTTATGAACCCAAAGCCTAATGAGGATTTAGATGCTCATTTCAGTTTTCATTGTTACATTCGTTTAGGGAAATTATTAGGTTAAGGAAATACAGAATTGAATAAAAGAGTGTGGACTTACAATACTTATTCATTCCCGAAAAGAGAAACGTAATTACCAGAATGGTGGTAGTGGTAATGATAATTACAGTCTCTAAGATCAGAGATTGCGATTGATAATTAGAAAATAATGATAATAATGATAATACCGATAACTATGCTGATTTGATAGCGTGACAACATATACGCTACGACCACTGAGCTTATTATTAATGATAATGATAAATATCATAATAATAATAATGATAAAAGAAAAACATAGAAGCATAGCGATGATAAAGACGATAATAAGAGTAGTTGTGATGATGAAAATACTTCTGATAATACTAAAGGCATTAGTAGTAATAGTAATGGTAGAAGTTACAACGCCAACAGCGGCAGCAGCAGCGTGAAAAGTAAGAGCAATAGTTTCAAGACGACTACAGTAGAATAAAAATGATTGCGATGACAGTGATAACGGTGACAAATCTAGCTATCATAAAAAAAAAAAAAATAATTTATATAATGCTTATATGTAATGTTAGCAATAGCAAGGCTAAACATATGTTGATTAGTGGTAATATTGGCAATAATGATGAAGATTAAATTGATGATGTTCATGATAATCCCCCATGAAGGTAATAACGATAAGAATATTTACAATAATATAGTTTAAAGCCGGTAATAATGTAAATGAGAATACGTTGACACTGATGATAAGGATGATGTGATAATGACAACATTGCTAATAATGATAATAATGATAACAGTGTTAACAAGAACAACAATAATAGTGATAATAACAGTAAGGATAATGATAAAATTTTAACAAAAAATACGAAGAATAATAACAATAAAACTAACAACAATGATAACTATGGAGCTGATAATTGTGCTACTACTAATGACAATGATAATAATATTACCAATAATAAAAACTTAAGCAACAATAACTTATGATGGTAATAGTAACGATGATAGCAAGAAAGTAATAATAATCATAAGAATAATAGTAATGATAATAATTAAGATAGTAATGATAATAATTATGGCAATATTGATAATGATAATAATCATGACAATAACAATAATGATTACATTAACCATTGTGATAATGATAATAGTAATAATCATAATAGAAAAAAATAATACCAACAATGATTATAATAAAATACCTAAAACTATAATCTTTATTACCATTATCATTATCACTATTAATAATAACAATAGTAATAATAATCATAATGATAGCAATAATAATGATGATAATGATATTATTATTATTATTATTATCATTATTATTATTATTGGCATTATTATTATTAGTATTAGTAGTAATAATAATAATAATGTTAATAATAGTAATGATAATAATGATGATGATAATAATAATGATAATAATGATAATAATAATAATGATAACAGTAATTACAGTTATGATGATAATAGTGACAATAGCGGTAATAGTAATAAATGATAATACAAATAATGGTTATGATGATAACAATAATGATGATAAAAACAATAATAATGATAATAATGGAAATATAAGAAATGATTGTATTATAAATAAGAATGCTGATAACATTAATTAGAAAAGTAATGATGAGGATAATAATGGCAATAGAGATAGTGATAATAATAATAATGATAATAACAAAAATAAAGATAATAATAAAAAATGATAATAATAACAACAATAATAGTAATGATAATAACAACAATAATAGTAATGATAATAACAACAAAAACAACAATAATGATGATGATAATGATAATAATAA